TCCCATACTAAAACAAAACACACAGACAAACTCCGCAGATGCTAATCAAACGGAGCCATCTCCCTTCAGGTCTGCGTTCACACAGAGGCCCAACCCAGCTAATCCAGGAGATAAACCAGAATTGGAAACGAATCTGGAATTACAGAAATATGCTGCGGACGCAAGGAGGGGAGGAAGCGCTCAAACCAGGTGTGTTCCCAGTTTGGAATGGACAGCCCTGGATTATTTACAACCCATACTTGTCCAATTGGGAACGGTAGTCTAGTAACAATCTAGTGACTTTAGACCGATCTCTCCCTCCATTTTGTTTTTTCTACTCTTTCTAACCTGTTAATTAAAGAGAAATAAAGAAAGAAAATGGAGGGAGAGATCGGTCTCTCACCAGATGGCGTATTGCAGTTTAGCCGTTCCGATTGCGCTTTGTAAACTAATTGCACAAATTGCTACAGGAGATAGGAGAATCATCACAAGCGGGAGGAATCAAGTGAAAGTATGGTGCCATAACAAAGAAGACGCGAATGCTCTTTTAAATTCAGAACTCCTAAAGGAGAAGGGCTATATAACATTTATTTCAGAATCGCTTCTATGTAAAAAAGGATTTATAAGATGCCGTCCGGAGTATTCAGTCACGAAAATCATCGAGAACATGGACGAAGATCAAAGAGAAATGGTCGTTTGAGCCAGAAGAAGGATTGGCAGAAACGATCTGGCCTCTGAAATCATTGACTTTACCTTCAATACGTTACTTGTTCCCCGTTTCATTTTTATTTGGAGCGTCAGAATATTTGTAACTCCATTCCAATCCCAAAGAGGTGCTTCTTCTGTCAACATTTCGGGCATATTACACAACAATGCAAAGCAACCTATCCTAGCTGCGAATATTGCGCAAATAAACATACAACGATCTCCTGTAATAATCCGCGACCAAATAGCAGTTGCCTTAAACGCTCAGATGTCTGCGAAAGCTCCAACAGACTGAGAATTAATAAGGTCGACTGGAGTAAGTTTAGACAACTCACGAGCCAATCCATTGACCAATTTCAACACACCAGCCTGCCTATCCCAGTGGACAATTACAACAAACTTACGTAAGATTTTATTGATAATCTGAAAAAGTCGGGAGCATTCACCCCTAAAAGGACGGCAAAAACAAAAGTCAAACCTTTCTGGTGGACTACTAAATGTGAGGAAACTTATGAAAGGAAATCACAGGCAAGACGAAAATATTTGAAGGACCCATCAGCTCAGAACTTAAACACTTACATGAATATTGAAGCTGAAACAAACAAAATCTTTCAGGAGAGTAAAAGAAATTCATTCAAGGAGTTACGTAATTCAATCAACCCTGCTATGGGCTCAAAAAGAATTTGGGGACTTGTCAAGGCGTTTCAAGGAAAATTTGCATCCACAACTAATGCCTCAAATGATCCAAACGCTGAAGAATTCCGTAGTCTAAAAGAAGAACTTATAGGTAAAAATACCCAAATTATACACAACAAGGCGCTCCCGATCAATAAACAGGAAGAATTGGATCCATACAACGCCCCATTCTCTGAGGAGGAATTCCGAACAGCTTTGGACTCTTGTAACAAAGAATCAGCGCCGGGCATTGACCAGATCTCTTACGAAGCTATCAATAAACTTTCAAAGGAGGGTCTCGATCAGCTCAGAATGATACTGAACAAATGTTTCTTAACTTGAAGATTTCCTAACGCCTGGAGAAACTCTTTAATAAAATTTATACCCAAACCGGGGGGAAAAGGCTATCGACTGATTTCACTGACCTCCAACATGGGAAAGTTATTGGAGAGGATGGTGCAACGCAGAATTGAACACTTCTCGGAGAATAATAAAGGAACAGCGGTTCTAGCAGTAGATCTGAAGGGCGCCTTTAACGCTCTTCTACCATCTAAAATCCTTGAAGAGCTGCGAAGCTGTGGAATTCCAGCTAAACTTTATACTTTTATTTTACACATGATCAATGACTGACAGCTAATCTTCGGAGATGTTAACAGTAAACCTACTCTATGCAGAACAGGGGTTCCCCAAGGAGGAGTGCTCTCTCCAATATTATTCAATTTAGCATTGAGAAGAATTAGACAGTGTCTCCCAGTGAATGTTAAAATACTGCAATATGCAGATGATATCGTTCTATACAATAGCTTCACAGATGTTAAGGAAGCAGTGGCTTCACTGGAAGAGGCATTAGCCAAAATCACACCTTGGATACTAACACTCGGCCTTAAAATCGCCCCAACTAAGGGTGCAGTCCCATGCTGAGCAGAAAACAGAATGCAAAGCAGAATTTCGTGAGTGCAAGAGAAATAGTCAGATATCAATATCCTTTCCACTCTCACGAAATTCTGCTTTGCATTGTGTTTTCTGCTTAACATGGGACTGTACCCTAAGTCGCAACTATGTATATTGGATCGAGGAAAGAGCGACCACTCCACGGTTGTTATAAAAATAACATAAACAAACAGCAAGGCACCAACATCACACTCTTATGGATACCAGCGCACTCAAACATAAAAGGGAATATTAAAGCGGACAAAATCGCGAAGACTTCTGCCAGTCTGAATATTGGCCTGACTATTCAACCTCTACAAGAGGATATCAGAAAGCTCCTCATTCAAGATTATCGTGCCAGCTTAAATCAAGAATGGCCATACTTCAACACCTCTCGCACTTCTCAAAAATATTTTGAATATGTGGAATTTAAGACAGAAAGACCATGGTTCTGTGGCTACGACGCACCAAGAAATTATATTAACTTAATTATTCGTCTAAGGACAGGGCACATTTGCACAGGATCTCTTTTCGGGAAAGTGGGCTGGAATATTCCACCACAATGCAAATGTGGCCATGAGATGAGCTCTTTAAAACACTACTTACAGGAATGTGAGCTGTTTAACGAGGGAAGAATGGAATTTCTCAACTTTCTTCGAAAGATTCTGGGCAGATCAGCATACTTATTGGAAAATCTCAACTGCCTGGTCTTTTTTCCCAATTTAGAAATAATTAATGAAATAGGAAAATTCTTAACGAGAAGAGGAATTTTTATCCCAGTACATATGCTAGATTTACTTAGGTTTAGCAAATTTAGCACACAAAAGTGCATGAATTTAGTTTATTTATCTGTGTATTTTCAAAAAAGTTTTCTAGTGACTTAGGTCTTTATTTTATTTAAATTAATTTATTACCTGGACTATAAGTATAAATTATAAGTGAATTATTTTCTTTAGGCCGAATTACTTACCCGAATTACTTAAAAAATATTCAAGAAATTTGAAAGGGTAAGGATTACCTTATAATGTTTGAAATTAAGCGGAAAAGCGTTGGTAGGAAATTTTGATTTGACTCTATCGATAAATTTATAAAAATCTTGGAAAATAGGCGCCAAAGGAAAGATCAGGGCGTGGGGAAAATCGCTGAGTGGGGTTTTTTGCCGCGGAAAAGTAGTGAAATCGTTCCCGCATGCAAATATTCGGCAGAACAAGTATCTTGTCTCGCCACCTCTTTGCGTGTCGCCGACAGCCCAAAGGTAAAAAATATAATTGTAAATTTATTTTGTTTAATCTTATTTTCAATTCAGTTAACATCTATCAAATTTTAATTATTATTTTAAATCTTAATTTAGAGTGGCGATTTTTTTGTGATTGTAATCAATTTTTGTGGCTGATGATGAGTGAGGGACTGCGTGCGGGAGCCGGAAACTAAATATCGTTACACAAGTATACCATCATTTTCTCCTGAAACTTAGGCCATTGACGAAGGAGATTTAATACATAACTTGTACTTTTTTCCGTTTGACTATATAATTAATTCTATCCTTTGGTTCAACAAATTGAATGCCGTAAGGATTATAATCGGGACATTCAAGTTTCACCCGTGACTAAGGTTTCTCAACCGACGCTTTCTCGCTTCATCAGGAGACAAATCGCCGACGATAAGTTTTTAAATATTGTTTTATTTTTATCTTTCAAATTTTCATTTATATCCATCTCATTATATACATATTTGATCTCATTCTTTTCAAATTTTAATCCTTTTATTGATACCTCCAAACATTTATCCTTATCCATTTAAGATTCCCCTTAAAATATCAATCGCTCTTAATTCATGATAATTTGTCTAATTTCGAACTACGCTTTTTATTTGTATTTTGTTTTTATGTTCTTGAATTGTGTGTGTGTATGTGAGTAAGAACGAGTGTCGTACGGCGCGAATTGTTTCGATAAGGATAATTTTCGGTTAAAATTATTCCTCTATTTTATTTGTTATAAATATTTCAAGATTTAATTAAAAGGGTATATTTTACATGATTTTTGTGCATTTGTTTTGTTATTTATTTTGTCTATTTAAACTAAATTGACCGGTAATATAAATTGAATCTTCATTAAATTCTCCATATTTAATTTTATCTATTTCTTTGCATTTTGTTTAATAATTCATAATTCAATATAGTAAATTCGTTACAAATTATATACCTCTTTAAATGGAACTTGGCCTAAAACGACCTGGATAAGTGGAAAACTGGATAAATGGAATACCTCTGTAAGTGGGACAAAAATTTCGGTACCTTCAGGTTCCACTTATCCAGGTTCGACAGTATATTAAGTGCAAGCATAGTTACACTGAACTGAAATGAATTTTTTTTTATTTATTTGTTTATACACCCGTCTTAAGCCTACAATCTTGGCTATACAAGTGTTTTTACAACCGTAGAATATTTTTCCTTACAAACATTTCTTAAATTACTTAATACTAAATTTTTGCGCCTACAGAGCGACTTAAAAATTAGGAGTACTTACTCGCATTTGCTGGACCACCCGTCTAATGGGTTTTCTTGCCAGTGGAGAGGGAAACTGTAGAAAACCTCTCCTGAGTACAACCGGTTTATCGACAGTCGAGTTCTAATGGTGTGTAACGGACAATAATCGAAGGTGCACATCATTATACCTCGACGTCAAACCTCCCGCTCAGTCACTAGATTGTTACTAGACCACCGTTCCCAATTGGACAAGTATGGGTTGTAAATAATCCAGGGCTGTCCATTCCAAACTGGGAACACACCTGGTTTGAGCGCTTCCTCCCCTCCTTGCGTCCGCAGCATATTTCTGTAATTCCAGATTCGTTTCCAATTCTGGTTTATCTCCTGGATTAGCTGGGTTGGGCCTCTGTGTGAACGCAGACCTGAAGGGAGATGGCTCCGTTTGATTAGCATCTGCGGAGTTTGTCTGTGTGTTTTGTTCTAGTATGGGAGCTACTTGATTTCGATGAAAATCCTGTTGAATGTTTTTGTTATTGTTATTATTGTTATTATTTCTGTCGTGAGAATCCTTGCTATTTTTTAATTTCTTTTTGTTTCCTCTTTGCGTATTTGGAGATTTTCCCGGACTCAAAGAGGTTCCTGAAAGGTTTCTTTTATTCGGTTGGTGTTGATCCTCCTCCTGCCCAGTTCGAATTTGCCTGTTTTCCGTATCTCTTAATCTGAATGACAATTTTTCAGTTACCAATCGTAGATTATCTGACGGCGACATAGAGGTGGACGTTGAGCATGACATGTTCGAGCCCGGTCTAGGTGAGATTTGTCCTGATGCCTGAGATAGCTGAGAAGAGGGTCTGCTGAACCCTCTTCCTCTTCCCCCCTTTTTGTAGATGTGAGATTCATTTGGCTCTGTTGCCTGCTGTTCTTCCATCATGCTGTCTTCCTTTTGTGGTTGAATCTTGTTGCTATCAGATTTGTAGTCCATATTTATCTACCTTTTTGAATAATTGAGATTATATTAAATTTAAGAAATAAAACTTGACTAATTTAAAATTTGTTAATTATTGAATTGTGTTTTGCTTTGGATAACCGTTTTGCTTTACTGTTTGCAGTGCCTTGTTTGAATTTCCTCGTAGTTCTCGTTCCACCAGATCGGTTTCAAGGTCGCTTTTTCTATTATTATCTCTCGGTAGGTATGCTCCTGAGGTCTTCAGATTAGCAATCAACGCATCAGCAAATGTATCATATCTTCTCAGTGGCGATGATATATCTACAGTCTTGTTGCGTATCCGAGAGTGTTTTTTTAGTCAGGTCACAAAATTGAACTAATCAACTTTGCCTAATCTTAGCCTGTTAGAAATCTCACATGCATCTGTAATCTTGATATAAATATTAATAAGAACCGGGAAATGATCACTACCGTATGGATCTGACGACATTCAACATTCAGTGATTTCTAACCTCAAGGATTTCTTGTAGCGCTCTTGCTGAAGCATGAGACACATGCTTATTCCCGAAATCTTTTTTGACCAAATAGTGATTTGATATAAAACTACTTAACTTAAAATTCACATAATATGCACATTATTTGACATAACTTTCATTGTACACAAAAACCATTTAACATAAATATCATTTGTCATAAAATTCATTAAACAGAAATATTATGTTACATTTGACGGATAACTCATTACACATAATTCTAATTTGACATAAAATTCAGTTGTCATAGATTTTATTTTACGTAAAGATCATTTGACATGGAAATATAGGCACGAATTTCAAAATTGGCGAATCACAATGTTGTTGATAATATCTAATTGGTTACTTTTAAAATTCGCGCCGATATTGTTATGTAAAATGTAATTTGTGTAAAATAATTTTTATGTCAAATAAGAATTTTGTTGAATGACTTTTATGACAAATGAGAATTGTGTTAAATGTCTTTTATGTCAAATGAACTTTATGTCAAATAAAAATTATGTTAAATGGGATTTATACCAAATGAAATTTATGTCAAGTAAATTTTATGCCAAATATGAGAATTATGTTAAATGGAATTTATGCTAAATGAAATTTATATAAATTTAATTTTACGTTAAATAATAATTATGTTAAATGATATTCACGTCAAATGAAATTTATGTCAAGCTAATTTTATGTCTAATGATATTTATGTCAAATGAGAATTACGTTAAATGACATTTATGCCAAATGAAATTGATGTCAAATGAATTTTATAACAAATAAAATTGACGTTAAATGAATTTTATGTCAAAAGAAATTTATGTTAAATGATTTTGATGTCAATAGAAATTTATGTTACATAATTTTTATGTCAAATGGGAATTAAGTTATCTGAGTTTTATGTAACATAATATTTCTGTTTAATGAATTTTATGACAAATGATATTTATGTTAAATGGTTTTTGTGTGCAATGAAATTTATGTCAAATAATGTGCATATTATGTGAATTTTAAGTTATGTAGTTTTATATTAAATAACTATTTGGTCAAAAAAGATTTCGGGAATAAGCATGCGTCTCCTGAAGCATTACTCCCAAATGGAGCAAAATATGGGGTGTGTGCATTCAAATCACCCAGAATGATTAGCCTTCTCTCGGGGGGAATTCCTTTTAATAGGTCCATCCACTGCTGTGGCAGCAATATACCTCGAAGAATTGAATGTGAAAGAGGAGGTCCAGAAGAAGGACGTCTCTTATCTCTGTCTTGTGCTATTGTCTGATCATTCGTTGGGAATTCCGAATGTGACTCTAATTGGTCTTTTAGTGCCGCCTCCGTTCTTGTTATTTGCGAATTTAAATTTTCTTTTATTGTTACAATTACAAATTTAAGAATACTTCTTTTGATAGATTGCTTAGGCTGGAGTCCCATGGTAGCGTTTTGCGTTGCGTTTTGTAACTAGGCAATGAGTGCAAATAGAGCAAACCTATATCTGTATCTTTCTCACACTCATGGCCTAGTTACAAAACGCAACGCAAAACGCTGTCATGGGACTCCAGCCTTAGAATATCTTTGTTGTTGCTGTTACTGATCCCAGTTGAATTAAGGATACAGCTATCAGCAATTTGTACAACTATGTTAGAAATTAGTCTTGTTGTTACGTGTTTTTACTTGTTGTTTTGTTCGTTTGTTAAATTAAAGGAAAATAAAATAGATTAAATCAAATTATCAAATAAGTGTAAAGGGAAAAAGAAAAATGAATCCCTGTTAGAGGTAGTATAAGATTGATAATTCTCCCACTTAAGTCCAATTTTATTACTTCATATCTTTTGTAGGCAGTGCAATACTTACCCTATTAAGCTTTTTTATTTCTTTTTGGGAAAAATGAACAACAATTCTTCTCCTAGAGAGGGGCTGAGGTATGGAAATTGAAATGCACGCAGTTTGATAAATAGGAGACCAGAAATAAAATCAATGTTGCACATTTATAATTAAGATATTTTAATTATAACGGAGACTTGTCTTACCCCAAAAAACCCTGTTTGGCAAATACCTTACGTATCGTCAGGACCACCCTGACAATCGCCTGGGTGGGGGAGTCATGATTTTGGTTAAACGTGGCCTGATTGTGTCATCCATCAAAATCATCAAAGCAACCAAAAAACATATGGATAGCATAGACGTTATTCCGAATCAGATCAGGTGGCTTATGTTTACTGACGACCTGCTTATTTATATTAATTCTAGACATCTCCAAGATTCTCTTCGAATGCTTGGGAAGACAGTTCAGAATTTAATGACTTCCTGGCTCAAAGCGGTCGGCCTTTCCTTCTCTCCTGGGAAATCTCAGCTTACTGTCTTCTCTATAGATCTGATAAGGACTTTTCGGATTGCTCTTTAACGATTGGCAACACTATTATCTAAAATCAAAATGATATGACCTATATGGGTATTGTGCTGGACAGAAGTGCCCTTAGATCTATTAACATAATAAAATGAATGTCTAAAGTTTCATGGGGTGCCAATCCTTCTTCATTAATCACAGTTTTTCACCAGAGCACATCTTGAATGGGGAGCACAATTTTTTTCTGACACATCCCAAACTAATCTTAAAAATCTAAATAGAATTCAAAACCAAGCCTTAAGAATTGATATATTACAATATAGAGTGTCAATTATTATTTAAACTGGTTGTAAATGTAGATTAAGAGTAAAAGATTTGACTGCAGGTACTACAAAACCAGTAGGCATTAGGAATTATTTCTATTTGAACACATTCCAAATGAAACAATTTTATTGAGCAGTCTTCATTGGAAAAGCGGATCATTTGTCGGCCACCATCAGGTTCTTGGCAAGTGCACCATAACTCTATTCCCACACAGCACCAAAACTTTCCTGAAAATTTATTTAAGATTTACTTGCAAAGTTCAGTGGAAATTGTGTAAAGATTCAAATGTCCCACTTAAATAAATGTTTATAGTCAAATTTTCCTACAAATTTAACTTAAAACTTTCCTGAAGATTTAAATTAAATTGTCGACTTTTCTCTTATAAGCGAAAATGTAACTTAAAATTTTCCTGAAAATTTAAATTAAATTTTCGCCTATATACAGTAGGCTACATTTTACACTGAAATTTTGATGGGTTTCTTTCATAAAATTTTTATATTCTGCTTTAGCAATACCTTCGTGTTGAAGACCATATGCTGTTGACTTACTTTTGAATAAAATTGCTTGAGGATAACAAATACCTTTAATTAAAGCTAGTAATGGCTTTGTATATGAAGTGTGACAAACGTTTCTAAAAACTGATCCAGCGATTCTTCCAGCGTGAAGCTTATACCAGAAAGCACTTTTATTTCGTTTCAAAGTAATTTGTTCCACAGCACATTGTTCTTATTTTGTGATACTAACATCAACAAAGACGTTCTTTAAATCTTCTAAAGATAATGGTTCAAATTCAAAAGAATATAATTCTTTTAATATCGTTGGAAGATTATTGATACGCTTTGGCATTCTATTTAATGCGAACGGTTGTGTAACTGATAATAATGCTGCCGAAGGGTTCACTTCATTTAATTTTGATAAAAAATCATTTAGTGATTGCTTTTCTAGAGGAGGAATTTGACCAAATTGCATATCATCGAGTGCCTTAATCTTCTTTCCCCAATTAATTTCAGACATTTTCATAGGTATAACATTTTTTGATATACATGGTATAGGCCATTTCGCTAATTGATCCGTACATGATTCTGCATCTTTAGATTACACCAGGATATTTTACTTGAAAATATCCAAAAGATTAATTTAGTTTAACAATGATTATATTCGGCAAGAGGCCAAATTTTCAAATTAATATACCGCATGACAAAGGCGGTGACAAGCATCACTTTTCACAATTTTTGAAATACTTTAATTATTGCCAATCTGTCGAGAAAATGACAATTTGAGATTACTGGGACTCACCGTCGCGTCGATTCGTTTACGACCCCGCATAGCGCCTCGTCCAGACATGGCACCACTTTCAACTTTAATTTGGTTTTTGAAATTTTTATTACGAGCGTGATGCGCCTTTGAGTACTATCAAAACGAGAATAAATAAAAATGGCCGTGTGTCTGGCTACGAGAGCGTCGTTACACATGCGCTTCTTTTTAGTTTAAGGGTGAGTCCCCGGAGTACTATTTTTTTAACTTTAGTCTCTACTTTTATCCGCGCGAGGTAAGATATCCGCCGCCGGTAATGCAAAGCGCCAACTTATTAGTCGCTGTCGTTTACTCCACATCGCCCTTTAATCCAATATGGCCGCAGTCAGTCAAGGAGAGTCCAGAATAGAGTCGAAGTCGGTATGAACGCGCTGATACAACGCGCTCGTCCTATGTATTCCATATGGACGAGCGCGTTAATATCAGCGCGTTCATACCGACTTCGACTCTATTCTGGACTCTCCTTTAGAGGCAGGGTTGCGATGTTACGCGTAACTTGGAGCTTTTAACGGGTTGCAGCCTTTCATCACAAAATGGAA